AATTTTTAAATAATAAAAAATAATATTAAAAATTAATTATTGTTATAAAAATAAGACTTAAATTTAATATTTTAATATTTGAAAATTAAATACAATATTAATTAATTTAATAAATATCAATAATTTTTAAATATTTTTATTTTATAAAATATATGTCTCGACGCCAGAAGTCTTTAACAAAGCATACGTAACTGCATGAATGAATTTCCTTTAAAAAAAAAAAGTAACTGAATGAAAGTTGAAACATAAAGAAATTTTTTAACGGTTAACGTCAAAATCATATCAAACAGTTAACATAAAAATAAAATAAAATAAGAACAGATTTTAATTTTTAAAATATAAAATCAATATTAGATAATTAAAAGATCACGTGTCAGGAGAAAAACAAATATAATAAAATATATTTTGCATTTGGTATAATACTTGCTACATATAATGTGGTAAAAAATTATTAATTTATTTTGAAAAATAATTTTATTCACTTAAAAGAATTTTTTAATAACCATGATTTTACAAGGGGTAATAAATAAATAAAAATTGAAAAGAAAAGAAAAGGATCACGTGGGTAACTCATTGGTGGTAGTTGATTGCAGTGAAGGAGCATGACCTCGCCACGCGCCTTCGCGTGACAGGTGGCCTCCCGCCACACTCCGTTGCCACAAACCAATCTTCTTTTCTCTCTCTTCTGCCCTAATTTCTCATTTTCCCTCTTTCATTTCAACCTTACTTTCCAATTCCATCCTTCAACTTCAATATTCCAATTCTATTCTTCTCCGAATCCTCTTCCTCCTCTTAGGTCAGCACAATCACTTTGCTTCCTCCTCTTTCATTTTATTTTTTTTTATTTTTTATTTTATTTCATCCTTTGATTGCATCAGGATCACACGTGAAATGAATTTTTCATTTCTTGGGGTGTTCGATTTACTTGTCCATGCTTTCCAAAAAGGATAAGTGAAGTACAATATTGAAGTAGTGTTTTGTTTTTCTGCTTTAGGGAATTTTGTTCCTGGAACAATTGTACGGGCATAGCTGGTTTTGTAAATATGGGATCAGAGAGTGTGGCTCCGGCGGTTGAGACATCGAAAAGCAGGTCAGAGATTCATAGCTGTTTTTTCTATTGATTTCATGAACACACACACACACACAAAGTGATCATATGATTTGTAGTTTCAATCAGAAACCCCGTTGGCTCTTTCTGCTTCTTATTTCTAATGAATTTGATAGGCGTTGGTAGGTTTTTTGCTGTGCAATTCTTTTTGTAATTCTTAGGTTCAAATGATGAAAACTTTCTGACATGGTCTGAACCACTTGGTTTATTGAATTGATGCAAGTGTAAATAAGAAATATCTATTCTTCTGTGTGTTTAAACTATAAAGCTATTGGTTACTTCATCTGGCTTTACTTGTTAGGACAGATTTAAATTTGACTAGAACTATTGATAAGGAGCAGTGGTGATAGTAGTAGTCGTGAGTCACGGTTAGATAAACTTCTCAATAAGCACTTATAGCAAATGAATTGAGCTTTTTCTCATAAATTAAAATTAGTTTATGTATAAGATAATTTATAGAAATGTTCTTTTCAGCTTCTACAAAAGCTGATTTTTAACTTGTACACTAGTTAATTTTAATTTAGAAGAGAAACTTAATTTAGTTTACATTATTATTTTCTTTTCTTATAAGTTTTTATTGCAAAGTTATCCAAATAGGACCATAATACTAATACTCTAATAGCACTACATTCTAGCTGTCTCTTGCATGAGTACTTTATGTAGAACTACTAGTTCATCTCTTGCGTGAGTGGTTTATGTGGAATTACAGATTCTTCATCTGGTCTCAGTTCTTGTAAACTTGATTTGCTTCAGGTCTTCTCCGGGTAAAGTGAATCCAGGGAAAGTCCCTAGGAAAATTCACAAGGCAGAGAGGGAGAAATTGAAGCGTGAACATTTGAATGAACTCTTTCTTGACCTTGCCAATGCACTTGGTAACATCTTGTGCCACCATCCTGTATCTTGAATATGTTAAAACTTTTCAGCCTTGATCTGTTGTATTCAACATGATTTTAAGTGCTTTTTATCTTCCTTTTCTTTGGGATCTTTTGGTGGTGGCGTGGGGATAGATCTAAACGAGAACAATGGAAAGGCTTCTATATTGTGTGAAGCTGGTAGGTTGCTGAAAGACTTGCTCTGTCAGATCGATTCCCTCAAGAAAGAGAACGTTACTCTGGTGTCTGAATCTCATTATGTAAGATTGACACTGTTCATTTTACCCGTTGAGACTGATGCATCTTAAATTATGATATTTATTTTGACTTTGCTAGGTGATACGAAATCCTTGCTATTTAAGTAATCTTTCAGCCAGTTCCTTGAGCTAATTAGCATTTCATCATATTTTGGAAATTGATGTCACACTGTATCCTTGTATCTGGTTGGTTTTCACATGATTGCCTTCATTGGGCAGGTGACCATGGAGAAAAATGAGCTGAAGGAGGAGAATTGTAGCCTAGAAACTCAAATCGAGAAACTTCAAGGTGAGATACAAGCAAAAGTGGCTCAATCTAAACCTGACCTGAATGCACCTCCTCATGTGGAACTTGAGCCACTGGAGCAGACAAATTTTCCAGGACAGGGTCTTCAAATGCACACTATAGAACCTAACTTGCAGCAAGGATCTGCAGTTTTGGTTGTCCCCTTTTGTCCTGATATTCAAGCTTCTTTTCCAGCTCCTAATGTTTCGGAGGTTACGCCAAAATCTACATCCATTGTCAAGAAACCACATGCCAGGTATCCCACGCCCGCAGATTCATGGCCATCACAGCTGCTTGGAGAGCAACCAACTTCAAGTTAGTTTGTACTTTGTAGAGTTATAGCTTCAGTATTGGTTTAACACACCAACTAGTTTACCTGATAGCAATGCCTCTCTTGAGCTTTCATGTATAAATTAAATTCGTTCAATGATCCAAGAGAATCTCACTCGTTTCCGTTTCACCTGATCTAATCTAGGAATTAATTTTTGGTTCGATGGTTCATTCTCCTTTACTTTGTTTTCTCAGGGTTGAAAAGCCTCTAGTTAATTGTAGAAATGTTTTTGTGCTTTTCCTTGGGACCATGTCTGGTGAATGGATTCGTCTATTTTAGGATGAAAAGTTTCCTTGACAGTTCTTTTTTAAGAAACTTTTTATTCGGTACTTAGCATGGGAAAATAATCATTTCAAATATCGTCTTTATCCTGTGCGTTTTCGCTTTCAATATAAAAGGATAGAAAAAACTGGCCACAACTTTTTCTCCTTTCATGGGATGGGATCAGATTATGGATGAATGAGAAATGCAATATATTTTTTGACTTAATTTTAGTAACACAATTTCACATGAGATCATTAGATATCTAAATTACGAGTCTTGTTCCGTATTTAGTAGTATTAATGTATTAATACTTTAATAATAAAAATTAAAAATAATGTGAAATTAAAAGCATTCTTAATATATTTATTGGTAGAACGGAGGGAGGGACAACTTTAATTCTAATAAGAGAGAAAAATTGTATCTATTTAATTTCAAAAACTTATTATCTTTGATCTAAAAGAATTGCCAATTAAATAAGGATATTTTGAAAAAGATATAATTAATACAACTAATAATTAAAAAAAATATTATAGAAAAGGGACAAATAAAAAAGTGATAATGATCTTAGTCAGAAATAGTACTACATAACTAAGCAAATGATTGAATAGAAAACATTTTTTATGAACATTCAACATTTTAACTAAGTTAGTTTAATACTTATGTTCTACTTGAGAAAAAGAAAGGAATCTCACAAAATGAGAAGCTTCAATTCAAATCTGGTTGAAAGAAGCACAAACTATAACGACCCTACCTTAAACAGAACAGAAGTGCTTACGATAATATATACGTGGAATTAAAAAAAAAAAAAAAGTGGGTAGGACTTGGGAGTTTAGTTGGGACTTAGGACAATGTCGGTAGCTGCATTTTCGTATTATATTGAAAGCAAGCTTTGTTTTTTCCACGACCTTCAATATTACTATAGTCTTTAATTTAGCACCTCAAAATTCAAATATTTAATTGGTGAACCGACCAACCTCATCCGTACAGAGCCAACAAAGCCGCATTTAGGCTCCTTCAAAAGTATTTTTTATATTAATATTTATATAATTTTTTTAAAATTTATAATTCAAGAATCATTTTTTACATTTTCAAGAGTTGACAACGTAGGGTGAGACACAGACACAATTCTAGTCCCGGCTGCACACAAAAAAACCTCCCCACGAGGAAGCCACGTTGTTCTTTGATTCGCACCACCGCTCCTGCTTTTTCTCACAGTTGTCTTGTCTTCTTTTGTTCTCACACGCAAACTACACTCACTCTCTTTCCTCTTTCGGTTGTCACTGAGAACTGAGAACTGAGAAGAGGTGATCGAAGAAGCCCTCAAACAAAAAACACTCTCTTGTTTACCCTCAAATAAAAATGGGATCTGGAGCAGGGAATTTCCTTAAGGTGCTTCTCAGAAACTTCGATGTCCTTGCTGGGTATGCTTTTTTTCCTCTTCCTTCTCTTAAATGACACCTCAACTAAAATGTGTTTCTTTTTTCTTTCCATTTTTAACTGATACATCATTATATGTTATCTATTTTTGCTTCTATTGCAGGCCTGTCATTAGTCTTGTTTATCCTCTGTAAGTTCAATCTTGATTTCCCTTTTCCTTGCACACATGATGTGTTTTGTGTTGTTCAATGTTCCGTTTGCATTTATTTCATTGTCACGTGAGAGCTCAAATTCTTGTCTGAGAATAGATTGATTCGTGATGGGTGTGGGTTTTTGGTATCCTGGTGCAGATATGCTTCAATTAGGGCAATTGAGAGCAAGTCTCCTGTTGATGATCAACAGTGGCTCACTTACTGGGTTCTCTACTCTTTAATGACTCTCTTTGAACTTACTTTTGCTAAAGTCCTTGAATGGTATGCATTTCTTTTCCCATCTCATTTATGATTTTTCTTTTTTACGTTAATTGGTTTGGAAGAATAATGAGTAATCAGTAAATGCGATGATGAACTTGAGAATTGGGATTTTAGGCTCTTCTGGTTGGTTGCAACTTGGTATGGATGTAGTTTTTTTTTTGTGGGGGGGTTTTCTTAAGGAAATGTGATTAAGTAAATACCTTATAACATATTGCTAGTTTTTAGGGAACATTTTTGTAAAGGATATCTCTATGCGCAGGATGACTTTGGTTGCCTGCCAATCTACGGGGTTATTCATGAAAATCTTCGTGTTTTGATGATTGATTAATTTGGATGTAATTTATGGTAAAAGAAATTAAGAAAAAGCGGCTGTTATATTAGTGTTAAGTACATAGTAGCCAAGCTTGGCCAGCAATAGAATTCATACTTCGGTCATTAGGATTGTTCTAATGGTGGGGGTTTGAGTAATTTGCATGTTGTCACAAATTGAAATCTGATTGCCAGTTGTTTAGGTTTTGTAACTATTTAGGCTGCAAAATTAATGCCTTGTACTTTGCATTGTTCTGGGAAATTGTATAGAATATTAGAACATGATCATATGTTCACAAAATTACAATCTTAATTAAACATTTTGAGTACAATGTTTTTATTGGTAGAGGTAATGAGGTATTAATGATGGCACTATAAAAGGGCTTCAATGCAAATATACTTCATAATGTGCTAGAGAATGTTGAATTACTAGAATGCATTGTGTTATGTCAAGTTTTGTATGAGTTCTGTTGTGACAAATGTATTTAGAAGGGCAGGGTAAAGGATTTAACTTTTGGCTGGATTTTTACGACATATATTTCAGGATTCCAATATGGCCTTATGCGAAGTTGATTGTAACCTGCTGGTTGGTCCTTCCTTACTTTAAAGGTGCTGCTTATGTTTATGAGCATTATGTAAGACCTTTCTATGTCAATCCTCAGACCGTTAATATCTGGTACGTTCCAAGGAAAAAGGACACCTTGGGTAAGCCAGATGATATTCTAACTGCTGCAGAGAAGTACATCCAAGAGAATGGAACACAAGAATTTGAGAATCTGATCCATAGGGTATTTCCATCTATAGAACCCAGTTTTGGAATTTTGCTTTTTTTTTTTCTTTTTGTATCTGACTTCTTGTACTAACTGTGCCATCACTTTGCAGGCTGATAAATCAAGAAGTGGTGGCGGTTATTATACAATGTATGATGAGACTTATTGAGTGCAATCATGTAGTTTCTGACTTTCTGTCTTTGTGGATAAGGGGATGCATGTACATGTTACCATGTTTCTTAGATTTTGTTTTCCTTCTCGGAGGAGATACTTTAACTTTTTTTTCCGACCCTTTATTGAGTTCTTGTCTTCCTCTAACTATCTTCGGATTAGTCATCTATGTTTTGTATAATGGTTATGACGCACATGGTATATAGATAGTGTTAGTACAACTGCAGAAACTTGTTGATTTTTCTTTTTATATCCCCATTAGGTTTTGGTATAATGCAATGATGTTGTGCCACATTTGATCCCGTGATAATTTTCTGGAACTTTTTTCTTTCATTTTATTTCCATGATAATTTCCTGGTTTCTGTTAGGAACAGTGATATTTAAAGATGCTACATCATGCATTGCAATTATGTTGCTTTCCAAGATGGGTTTGTAGGTCGTAGCAATGTTATTTCTACATTTGTATTTGCTTTTTATTTGGGCTTTTTGACCAAAGTGGGGTCGTTGACCAACTTATTTACGTAAATGGGGCTACTTTGAAAGTATTTACGCCTTTGGGGCTGTCTACGAATGGCCCATAACGACACCCATGCCACGTGGCATTTTTGTAACTCCAGATAAGCCATGAAAGCCATATTAACCAAGTTGTTGCAGCTCATAGCGACACACACAGCTTGAATAAAGTTGCTACAGCCCATAGCGCTCCATATTTTCATTTTAAAAAACAAAGAAATCAAAAAATATATTAAATAAATAAAATAATGGAAAAATAAATTTATAAAATAGTAATTAAAATTTATATGATAATGTAAAATAAAAGAATTTAAAAAAATAATATAGTTGATAATTTTAAAAAATAAAAACGTGAAAATAAGTGGTGCTATGGCCTAT